AAATCCCACCTCATTCTTCTCTTCTGCAGACTAAACAATCCCAGTTCCCTCAGCCTCTCCTCATAACTCATGTGCTCCAGCCCCCTAATCATTTTTGTTGCCCTCTGCTGGACTCTTTCCAATTTTTCCACACAAAAAAAAATTATTTTCTTCTGTGAACAGAAACTATAAATACTGATCCAAAGGACTGTTTGGATTCTAACAGAGTGGAATAGCTGGACAAGAAGACGGAGATCCCCAGAGTTATTCTGGATAACCCTGAAAGACTTTGGGGAAACTAGCAGATTACTACATCTCTGCTACCATTTTTGATTTACAAACTTTGACTCACCTGTTAATATATTTTACCTGCTTTAACCTCTCAATAACCCTCATTTATTTTCTTGGCTAATAAATTTTTAGTTTACTAAGAATTGGCTGCCAGCGTTGATTTGGTGTGAGATCCAGAGTACCAAATTGATCTGGGGTAAGTGACTGATCCTTTGAGATGAGGAGGAACCTGATGTGGTGTAATTTTTGGTTTATATGACCTTTTATCATCAAATGCAGTTTGTCTGGGTGGCAAGACAGGCTGGAAAGCCAAAGGAGACTGTCTGTGACTCCATGGTAAGACTGGTATAGTGATCCAGTTCATGTGTGTTGCTGGCTTGGTGAAATCTAATTATAGAACATACCACCAGCTTGGGTGCCTGTTTTCTGATAGTCTGAGCGGAGCTTGGCACTCACAGCTGTGAGCCACTCCAGATGGTGTGACAGCATCCCCACAGTCCCATGGTCCAGATGGGACCTCTACATAGTAACACAGGGAAAAGAGTTTTTAGAATGGAGAGAAGTAAATAGTGGTGTCCCCCAGGGGTCTGAACTGGGACCTGTGCTGTTCAACATATTCATAAATGGAAAAAGGGGTAAACAGTGAGGTGGCAAAATTTGCAGATGATACAAAACTATTCAAGATAGTTAAGTCCCAGGCAGACTGTGAAGAGGTACAAAGGGATCTCACAAAACTGGGTGACTGAGCAACAAAATAGCAGATGAAATTCAATGCTGATAAATGTAAAGTAATGCACATTGTAAAATATAATCCCAAGTATACATATAAAATGATGGGGTCTAAATTAGCTGTTACCACTCAAGAAAGAGATTTTGGAGTCAATGTGGCTATTTCTCTGAAAACATCCACTCAACGTACAATGTCAGTCAAAAAAGCAAACAGAATGTTGGGAATCATTATTGCCTCTGTATAAATCCATGGTACACCCACATCTTGAATATTGCGTGCAAATCTGGTCGCCCCATCAAAAAAAAAAGGATATATTGGAATTGGAAAAGCTTCAGAAAAGGGCAACACAAATTATGAGGGGTATGGAACAGCTTCCATATGAGGAGAAATTAATAAGACTGGGACTTTTCAGCTTGGAAAAGAGACGACTAAGGGGGATATGATCGAGGTCTATAAAATCATGACTGGTTTGAAGAAAGTAAATAAGGAAGTGTTATTTACTCCTTCTCATAACACAAGAACTAGGGGTCACCAACTGAAATAATAGGCAGCAGGCTTAAAACAAACCAAAGGAAGTATTTCTTCACACAATGCACAGTCAACCTGTGGAACTCTTTGCCAGAGGATGTTGTGAAGGCTAAGACTATAACAGGGTTCAAAAAGGAACTAGATAAATTCATGGAGGATAGGTCCATCCATGCCTATTAGCCAGGATGGGCAGGGATAGTGTCCCTAACCTCTGTTTGCCAGAAGCTGGGAATGGGTGACAGGGAATGGATCACTTGATGATTATCTGTTCTGATCATTCCCTCTGGGGCACCTGGCATTGGTCACTGTGAGAAGACAGGATACTGGGTTAGACGGCTCTTTGGTCTGACCCAGTATGGCATTCTTATGATGAAATGGAATCAGTGCAGAATGTAGCCTGCCCGCCTTCTCATCACTCAAGGGTGTATCTGGTACTTCACTGGTACTACACTTGATCGTTGCTGAAAGGCCATGTGGTTATACTGGATACCTGCATGTTTGTGGCATGTTGGGAAGTCACAGTGATGTAAGCCACAGCTTCAACCACACAGGAAGTCATGATTTACCTGGGCAATGTCACAGCGTTAAATGCTCCAATGCAACCCAATGAAAATACGCTGTAATATGATGAGCTCTTTGTGCGGTGTGGATTTGTACCAGATACACATACCATTTGGGGGCCAATTTTAGTTTTCCATTCACTCTCGTCTTATTTATAGATCTGAGGTTCTCAAAGCCGAATCTAGAACTGGTCAGAACTTTGGGTTTTTTTAGGCATGGAAAATTTAAACTTATCAAAAAATTCAAAACCAAAATATTTAGGTCTAAATCTGAAATATTTCAGTTTGGATTGATGCTATGGTGTCTCATGGGAGTTGTAGTCCAGGTGCTTCATGCTCCTCTATAGGCTGGGGCCTTTGTTGGACTACACCTGCAATGATGCACCATGGTCTTCCCTCCTGGTGAAAGGAAGTGGTATATTGTGGGATTTCTATGGCCATGGTGTACCATGGGAGAAGTAGTCTGGCAAGGGAGCCCAGCCCATAGCAGGGAACAAGAACATGAGGCAACCCCAACTACAACTCCCATGAAGCACCAAGTGGAATTTCCAAATCAAAGAATTTCAGTTTTTAGCCAAAAAAGCAAAATCTTTTCAGTTTTCAAGCATTTAGTTCTTTGACCGAAAACATATAAATAAACTCCATGGAAAGCAGAGGCTTTTTGCAAAACCATTTGTTTAGTCAATAATGCAATTTTCTGTTGAAAATAATTTTAGATGGAAAATTTTTGAACAGTCCAGCTGAATCTAGGGGATTTAGATACACAGTTGCCATTCGCTTCAACAGGAACTATGTCTCTAAATGCCCTGTTCAGCTTTGAATAGCTTGGCTCTAATACCCAATCATTTTGAAAAAAAAAGAGCTGGGAAGGGACTGGAATTAGGTTTCATCATTGTTTACATTTATTAACCCCGGGAGCTCCAATCACAGTCATGCTGTCATAAAGGCAGGAATGTCCATATTGCTTGGGTGTAGGTTTGTCCCTACAGACAACCTGAACCAACATCAGTTTCCTCCTTCCCATCCTGACTCCTTCAAATATTTTCACTTCTAGGATTTGTACAGCTCCTTTCATGCACATTTCACCCTTGACTCCCCTGGGAACAAGCAAGCTGTAGCCTTATAATCTCTGCCTGTGGAGCACCAATTCCTGGAATGATGCATTGACCAAGAAACCACTGCTCTTAGTTTTGAATACATGGACCAAACCCTGTTGTCGATTACCCCTGAGTGACCTAGGTAAAGTCAACGAGATCAGACAGGATGCAAATCAGTTAGTCCCAGTGTCGCCAAATAACTGGTTTAAAGTAAGAGGCTCTCACAAGTCCCTCTTGGCCTACAAGATGCTGAGCTGCTCCTGGCCATCAATGGGGGCCAAGGACACCCAGCACCTGGCAGGCTGGCCCATCATGGACAGGATGCAGGGGAAGGTGCCTCTTGTGGCTGTGGAAGCCAGTCAGTCCTGGGTGGTGGGAGGCGTCAGTCCCAGCCCCTCCCCTCAGACGTGGTATTTTTTCAGTAGTTCACTTTGCCACTGCCGCTTCTTGTTGGGGAAGGAGACGGGGATCTTGATCTTCCTGAAGTCTTCGATGCACTTCCCCAGCTCCGACTCCAGAGCCCTCCTCTCCTCACTGATGGGAGGTGCCTCAGGGCAGCTCTCCACCCCATTCTCCTGGATGTTCAAGTGGTCACTGTTCCTCCTCTGCCCCATCTGCTTCACCTCCTCCAGGAATTTGAGAGAGTTGGAGAAATCCAGGGTGTTAGGCCGAGGCGGACATTCATCTGGCAACTCTGGCCAGGGCAAGGAAGCTGTGGAGCCGGGGTCACCATCCTCCGACTGGGGACCTTTGTCAGGGAGAGAGTCTCCAGTGACCGGAACCAGGTCAGGTTCACAACGGCTGTCCAAGCTGGAGGTCGAAAAGTCGTAGCTGCTGTCCATGCCAGCCGAGTCCTTGTGTGCCTCCACGGTTGGGTTTGGTTCTTCTGTCACCGCTGGGGCACTGTCTGCTGCTGGCACTGGAGGGGAAAAATCAGAGACCGACGTTAGGGATAGGTGGCTCCCATAAGGGCACATTCAACATTATGGGGCAAATTTGGTGCCCCGACATGCCACACAACTACACTGAGCTCAGTTGAAGCCCCAGAAGCCAGCGCAGAGTTCAGCTCTTTGCTGCCATTCCTTCAGCTACTGCTCCGAGGGAAAGAGAGCGCAAGGAACGTGCTGACGTATGGCTAGCTGTTTTCAATGTACGGTGTTTTATCCTTTTTTAACCATTTCCTTTGGCTTCTCAGTTCATCCCACCTCCGCCATTTCTCTCAACTGCACACAGAAAGAAACCAATCCACATGCCCCTCGTGCTCCGTGGATCACAGCTAGGGAACCCTGCTGTAGTCCAAACACAACCAAATAGGGGCCCTAGCATGAAATCCAGACCCAACTGACAACTCTCATTTACCTCAGTGGGGACAGGGTTTCACCCACAATCCTTGCTGGGAGAGGAGATTCAGTTGGTAATAGAGCCCCATACAAGTGCTTAGCTGTTTTTCATTTTCTATACCCCCTGGTCAAACCCCACAAGACGGGACATATTCAGCATGTTGTGTAGAGCTGGGCTCAGTTCTTGCTTTGAAACAGGAATTTGGTTTCTTGTGTAGAAAGAATAGTAAATATGGCAGGCGACCAACTTGGCTAAACAGTGAAATCCTTGCTGATCTTAAAAGCAAAAAAAAAGCTTACAAGAAGTGGAAGATTGGACAAATGACCAGGGAGGAGTATAAAAATATTGCTCAGGCACGCAGGAGTGAAATCAGGAAGGCCAAATCACACTTGGAGTTGCAGCTAGCAAGAGATGTTAAGAGTAACAAGAAGAGTTTCTTCAGGTATGTTAGCAACAAGAAGAAAGTCAAGGAAAGTGTGGGCCCCTTACTGAATGAGGGAGGCAACCTAGTGACAGAGGATGTGGAAAAAGCTAATGTACTCAATGACTTTTTTGCCTGTCTTCACGAACAAGGTCAGCTCCCAGACTGCTGCACTGGGCAGCACAGTATGGGGAGGAGGTGGCCAGCCCTCTGTGGAGAAAGAAGTGGTTCGGGACTATTTAGAAAAACTGGATGAGCACAAGTCCATGGGGCCGGATGCGCTGCATCCGAGGGTGCTAAAGGAGTTGGCGGAGGTGATTGCAGAGCCATTGGCCATTATCTTTGAAAACTCATGGCGATTGGAGGAGGTCCCGGATGACTGGAAAAAGGCTAATGTAGTGCCCATCTTTAAAAAAGGGAAGGAGGAGGATCTGGGGAACTACAATCCCTCACCTCAATCCCTGGAAAAATCATGGAGCAGGTCCTCAAGGAATCAATTCTGAAGCACTTAGAGGAGAG